CCAGTTTGTAGGCAGGTAAAAACGTGCTTGTAACAGGACAATGGTTTCAGTTTGCACTGTGGGAGGAGAGGGAATATCATATGAGTTGGACCCAATTCCTCAAATGGGAAAATTCTCATTGAAAATAAAATCTATCCATTAGCAAGCAACATGGGAAATCATTCAGCTGGAAAATGGGATCCAATCCCCAAATGTAACAAAATGAGGAATCCCTCAGCTGGGCTGAATGGGGTGCAGTTCTTTTTTTGTTTAAGACGCCAGGCATCAAAGAGCTCGAAGCCCTGGGACAGAACAATATGCACTCTTGAGGGTTACTTGTTCAAGCACCATACATGAGAGGATCTATTTGCTATAAAAATATATATTAGAAAATATGTATATTGCTATAAGCACTTTTATATAATTAAAAGATATGTCTACTGCGATAAGCAAAACTGTAAGGGTTGTAAGCTCAGACAGAGAACTGAGATTTAGAAAATATTCTGTCCTATATTCATACTGTAAAGTACAGGATGTGAAGGACACCACACATTAGGCTCGTTCGAGATGAGCCAGGCCTGCGCAGAATCGATCACGGGCGCTCGTCGCACAATGCATGCCAGTTAGATTTGTGTCAGACTTGATGTCAAGTTGCTCTGACATAATGCACATGTGGGCAACCTCACGAGCTCGAGACAGATGCAGTTTTTAGAGCCAGACCGCAAGACCCAGGGCATGACAGGAAACGCCTTGACTGCAGCTGTTTGTCACCTTTTTGTCGCTGCTGTCGCCTGGTCTTGTCCACTTTCCAGACGAGGTGCAGTTCATCTAAAACAAGCCTATTCCCTGACAGCACCCCACGGGGGAAAGGAAGTTTACTACATTTGCTACATTTTCTCATCATAACCCTAAAGCAACATAAAAGGAACTGGCTGTGTGACAAGTCTGAAAAAAATCTATCAATACACTGTCATATTTATTTAAGAATTTAATTTCCAAAATGATGTTAAGATAGCACCAAATGTCTTTGCAACTTTAAGAACTTGACAGCATTGATGTGGTTTAGTAAGAGCGTCAAAAGCATCACATTTAAAATCCATAGCTATGTTTGAGTGCTAAATAAGTGGCTCAAAATATCACGTGTAAGCTGACACCGGGTCTGACAGTGCAGTACTGGCACATAATTACACAATATTTTTCTCAGAACAGCCTCGTTCAATTTTTTCCTCCATTATCAGGAACCTCAAATGAAATTCATTTCCCATTTATGAAAGTATCGAACCACTTCTGCAATGAATGGAGACTTAATGCCTCATGATCATGCCAGACATTTAAGGCACGCATTTTTAAAATCCTACTGATTATTATTGAAACTACTGGATGATAATGGGTCTTCTCTGAAATCTGGACTCTTCTCATTCTTTTCCTCCGTTTGTCTTACCATTAGGGGAGGGCAGGACAAAGAGAACTATTAAAACTACAACACTATCAGATAGTGGGAGAGAAGAAGATCTTTGGATACACCTGTGAAATCAGTCCTTATCAAGTGCTGACTGTTTGAATCTGTCATCAAGAACAGGAAAGATTTATTATATCAAGCTCTGACAGAAAATGACATGGTGATGATCAAGTTGTAGATATATGCTCATTATGGATGGATAGGGAGTTCTTCTCACTCTCTCCTTCACAGTATGGGGGCAGGACATTATTGAACGTCGAGTACAGAGAAGACAGATATTGTATAGTAAATACACAGGCTGTGATCCCTCGATTAACACCACAGATTAGAATGTCGAATTTGTAGGACAGCTCTACTCGCTAAATGTGATGAGACATTAGGAGCAGTAATGATGTTTCCAACACATTTTATTTATGAAGAACAAAAGCTGTGGAGACCAGTGAAATAGTAAGAACCAATTCTAGACATTCTGTATTCATACAAAGTAACCTAATAATAAAGACGATATAGATCTGTATAAAATCCTTTTGTGTTAATAAAAGATAAAGAGTATGAACATTCAACTCTAGATACTCTATCTCTATGACCGAAACCTAGTAGAAGTGGGAAACGAGGGCTGATGGAAGCTCTAGGTCAGGTGATCAATGTCAGCATTAATGTCGCGGCTAGAGAGTAAAGACATGTTGCCTGTCAATGCATCAGCCTGGACGGACAGACTCTGGTATTAATCAGAGGAACACACAGGCAAATGTACAAGAACACTCAATGTGATGCACAACGCTGTAGATTTAACTTTTGATAACAGAGATTTGGGTTTTTTTTGAGACAACAAATGTACCTGATAAGCAGACTAGCAACAAAACAAAGCACAAAGGCCTGTCATAATGTCACTGCAACAGCCTTAGACATGCCACCGACTGTCAGTGACACAGAAAACCAGTGACATAAATCAAAAGAACCTGGCACACGGTCTCTCTCTGTATATTAGATTGGTACAAATTATTATTATTACAAATTATTATTATCATATGAATGATGATTTATTACACAATCATCATTCATATCATATTATAAAAGTTGTTGTGGATTTAGTAAACAGTTGTTTATTTACACATCTAGCAGATAAATTAACTTTAATTTGGGTTTGTATTTGTGTCCACTTGATTAAGGTTAGTCCGATATTCAGTCTCCTTCCAGCTCTGTTTTGGTCTCCAAAAACTGTAATATCTGGCTCTTTGGTTGCTAAATGCTCCACTGTCATCATCAGCTAGTCACTAACTTTGTCTCTCTGCTGTTTGCTGCTGGGCAGGTAGCTACAGTAGACTTGTACAGCTTTTTCACTGAAAACAGCTGCCTCATGTGGCTGGAAACGAGAGGGATAACAGTTATGAGGCTGAACCAAAACAGTAAAGTTACAGGCGCCAAGAGCAAAACAGTGAGTTGCTAAAGTGATAATTCTTTGTGGGTTTATCACTATGAGTGGGCCCTTTCAGATAACACAGTCATTTTTAATATGAAAATACTGATTAGAGCAGTTTTACCTTAGTTTAGCCTCTATAAGAACATTTTAAGCTCTGTCACAGTACGTGTGTGCAAAAGCCGATTCATTTTTAAATTATTAACATTTATTTAGATTTTTTGATTTTGAGCTGGGACAAAACTCTGTAACACTGAGTTGTGTGATAATATATAACAACATACACCACAAAAGTTTTCCATGAAGATCATTACTGTTTACTAGGCTGATGGTCATGGTTTTTGCTTGTAGGAGCAGTTAGGATTGTCTGTTTCTCACACAAACTGAGGCTGCAGGAAGCAGCAGCATAGGATGGAATGATGCATCATCCACTTGCTACAAAATTACACCTCACTGTACACAGAAGTACAGCTGTGTTTGTGTGTGTGTGTGTGTGTGTGTGTGTGTGTGTGTGTGTGTGTGTGTGTGTGTGTGTGTGTGTGTGTGTGTGTGTGTGTGTGTGTGTGTGTGCATGCGTCCAGGTGACAAACTGAACCACCCTCCATGCTGTATGTCACAAATTATACTGCCAGGGCACGGGGCACAGCTCTCTCTGTCTGTCTTTGATTTCCATTTTCTTCAGTGTGGCACACCTCCTCTCTCTACCTGAATATGATCATTCAGTATCTCCATCTCTTCATCCTGTGTCACTTTCCGTTCGGTTCTCCCCAATTCAGTTTTCTATTCTCTCTCACCTTGCTCTGTTATCTCACTCATGTTTGGCCACCCCCACTTGGCTCTCTCTCTCTCTCTATGTACATGTCATTCTCTCTCTCACCCCTCATAGTTTCTTCAAACCCAATTACAATCTTCTTTCCACTGCATCTCCCCCATCTCTCCTTCCATCCTTTCTTCATCCCTTTCTTTCCCTCTGTGTTAAAAGAACAACAAAGCTTTGTTGTTTATTTGGGGGACAATCAGAGACAGATTGTTTGCTTTGGGGGAAGTCTGTCTCTGTACGTACATGTGCATCTTGCATGTGTGTGTCTCAATCTGTGTCCTCTACAGCCAGGGAATGAATCACTCAGATATTCCTACTAAATCAACTCAAGGTGGTGTAAGCAGTGGGACAGAGAGAGAAAGAGAGCAGCAGAAATGATGCTGATAAATTATCAGTCGCACTGACACTGCTTTGTACACAGACAGATGTTGTAATACCAAAAAGCAGACATGTCCCTTGCGTGACTGTAACTGATAACACATGTGGTTCATTCATAAAAAAACAAAACATTGGGCACTAAAAGTCTATATAAACATAATAAATAAGGGTGCCTGTGAGTTAAAAATAAAAATATCCTGTGCTGCTGTGATTTAATGTCACACATTTGTCTAACAGTCTGAAACCAAGGCTGGTTTCTCTACAGCATCCACTAAAATCTTATGAAATAAAGATAATGTGCACGATTCTAGAGGCAGAGAATAACCCAATTTCCTAGAGCAAGAAACGAGATGTATAAATTCTTAATATATTGGACCTCAATAGTTTTTGAGTATCAACCGAAATGTATACGAGTACAGACAATGTCAAGTTTCAAAGATTGTCATTCAATGCCAGGTCAGATTTGAAATGTTTTGTAATAAATCTGAAAGTATTAAATCAGGTTAAGTCTGTATATTTATTTATTATTATTTAGCCTAATTTAGCTGCTTTTGTTCAGGTGACATTAAACACTGATGCATTGAGAAGTTTCGTGTATTTAATCAGATAAAAAAGATGCCATTGTTGGGCGCCCGGTTAGCTCACTCGGTAGAGCTGGCGACCCATATACGGAGTTGCTGCAGCGGCCGAATCCGACCTTTGCCTTTGCTGTGTGACATCCCCTCTCTCTCCACCCACCTTTCCTGACTCTCTACAGCTGTATCTATCAATAAAAAGCCAACAAGATGCCATTGTTTCCTCAAAGTAAAGTAACAAAAAAGTCAGAGTCAGGTATCAGTACCAAAACTCAGGTACTGTATTGGTACTGGCATTAAACGATTTATCTATATATAGAAAAGCACAAGCTTAGCCAGTACAAAGCAATTGTGTTGGTGATGGACACCTACCTGTCATGCCTGGAGGGGTTTTCAAGAATTTCCCATTGAAATTTTGAATCACCACATCGCACTTCTCCGTCGACTCCATCCTGACAGAGAGAGACAGAAAGAAAGAGGTGCTACTTGAGGACAATCAGCTCCTTATGTTACTATTCAATATACAGAGTAGGCACTGTGGTTCTCAAAAACGTTATTGTACTGTATGTGGATACGCAAATATGTCTTACAATACAGTATGTATATTAAATGCATGTCTTGTTTATGCATCTGTGCTTGTTTGTCTATGTATGCCTGAGCAAAATCCTTAGCTATGTGTGCATGTGTGTGCATGTGTGTGTGTTTTCAATGGGGTTTCCTCTCCTTTGTCCTGGTTTAAAAGCTCCATTCAGTCTGATCTGTTGTGTGTCATGTCCTCTTTGTCTGCCCCTATTCAGCTCTGCTCACCCAATCACAGCTCAATGACTAATTGCCTGCTTGGCAAGCAAAAGCCGGTGTGTATGTGTGTGTGAGACGGAGAGAAAAATGGTGAGGGGAGAGAGACACTGTGTGTGTGTGTTTGTGTGTGTGGTATGTGAGCATGCATGTCTCTGTGTGTGTCTTGGGTTTTCTTCACATAGCCAGTGACCCTGAATGGAGCCCTGACTGCATTCTAATCACTGGCACACTCCACGGTGTAACTGAGAAGACCACACACACACACACACACACACACACACACACACACACACACACACACACACACACACACACACACACACACACACACACACACACACACACACACACACACACACACACACACAGAGTAGGGTGACAGGGCCAAGGGTACAGGAATGTGGACATGTATCATTAGAGCTAGAAGTTGTAAATGGCAGGAAGTCAGCTCAGGGTAATGTTGCCTCTAGCACCTAAAAAATGCATCTGGACCATACAGACCATACGCACTGATAAGTAATTATAGTTTATTCAGCAAAGCCTAAAATTAAATACATTTGGATGCGACTGACAATCGGCATGTTTGTTTCAGCAAATAAAAACGTAGCTGTCAGTGGGAAATGTGTCCTAATCTGGAGATTTTGATTTTTGGAGAAACAAAAGTGTAAATGAGAGGTTGTGTGCATGTGTGTGTGCGCGTCTCTCCACATACATACCTAGCAAATCCGACTCCTCTGCTCAGGCCATTGGCGTCCCTCAGTATCCGTGTGGAAATCACATGACCAAAGGGCTTCAGCATGTTCTCCAGCTCCTGCTCGTCCATGGACAGCGGCAGGTTCGAGATATAAAGGTTGGTGGGGTCCTGCTCCTGTTGCTGTTGGGAGGTACAGCAGAAGAAGATGTGGTTAAATAGTTATCATCATGTCACTTTGTCTTGGTAACAGTTTCAATACCAGCCGGAAAAGAGAAGTTGCATGTTTTTGTCTAGTCTTAGAGACTCACTGCACTCACTGAAAAAGCCTCTCTGAAACATTGAAAACAATAAACAACAATAAATGCTTCTCCTTAAGGAAACTGCAAAATCTGAATGTGTAAAAAATGTATGCTATTTATTTTTAATAATTAAGCTTCACAAAACTATTCCCTGAAAAATATGAATAAGAATAAGAATAGAAAATGACTCCGCTGATGAGCAGTTCAGATGTTAGATTCAATTTCACTTCAGCAGGATTTATCTAAGCATGAGATGGCCCTTGTGATAAGCAAAACATTTTTTTCCCTTGTAAGTGTGTAAAAATGCTCAAAATGAAGAGAGAGAAATAAAAGAGTTCACTATAACCATCCACTAAAAGCTCCTTTTGCAGCAATAAATGCATTAAAGGTTAGGGCAGTGCCATTCCAGTTTATTTTCATATTTATGACTGAATCTCCCACTGCAAAATATCTGTGAATTTAACTCAAGAGGCAAACTCTTCTCAAAAGAGGAATAAACATTTCATTGAAAAGGCAGTGCAGCGGCTCCACACTCAGAACCCCTGAAGCAATAAGGAAACCCCCTCAGGATTCATAGATGTTAACTGAGTTGCATTACATTTTTCTTCTAATGTGCCTCTCAGTTAGTTAGACTAGTATACTTCAATTATTTTTGTTCTGTTTAGCAGCACTCCATTCAAATGATCCTCCGCAAGAGACCAAAGCCCGTGTGTGCATGTGTGTGTGTGTGTGTGTGTGTGTGCTGGCAATTAAAGAGGGATGGATGGATGCTATTGAGACAGACAGAAAGGAAGAAAAAAATGTAATATATGCAAGTTGTAAATCATAACTACATGATTTCATAATTTTGTAAAACTATTTGGAAACATGGTTCCCCAGTATGCTTCTGTAAATGCTGTAAATGGTTCTGTGATGTTTAATTTCTTCATGACAGTTTGTAGCTGAGTTGGCTGCATCTCTCCTCAGTGCCATAATGACACTACGTATTCATGATGACCTTGGTAATAACTTGGTGATATTACAATCAGTGCCCCAAAGTTCCCGGAAAGTCTTTGACACATTATATATTCAACAGAAAACTTTATATTTCTCTCATCTAATTTGCACAAACTCAAGCAGTAACATAAGTAATACACTGACACTGAATGCTGTGCAGTGCTGGAATGGGACACTGTTCGTACATTTGATTCCACTGTTGTCATGAAAAATGAAACAAATACTCAAATTGTGTATGGTGTGGGATATGCACTGTGCTTGAATTGTGAGAAGCCAAAATGTTTTGTTTTATTTTAGTACAATGGCAAATACCAATATTTGTATGTGTGTTTCTGCTGTTGAATGAATACTTCAATATAGAATATAAAGCTGGTCTATGTGGCTTAGTCTGAGCATAAATATTTCCTTCATCCATGGAGGATTTTCCTTTGCATGCACCAGAGCTGTTTGATTTCAAGAGTGGGAGTTCCAAATCTGCCCGACTGTGACCAAAGCCATATATGTAATCAGTGACTCAGAATAGGCAGAACAGCTCCGGTGAAGGAGTCTGAAATATTTTACCTTTCTTTTCTGAGTCTGAATATCTCTCTTCGTCAGCAGGGATTTTCCTTTGGCAGAGTGTCCAATAACCAGAGTGGCACAGTTGTCTTCCCACACAGGGCAAACTGGCTTTGAATGTAATCTCTTACATTTGCATGCATGCTTGTGTGCGCGTGTATTTATGCGAGCAGTGACGGGCGAAAGCAGCGACATCAAAGGCGTAGAGTCATATGTAACAGCTGTGGAACCTGCCATTGATCTTAGAGTCCTCTTCCTTAAAGAGTTACATCACTGAGATCATCATGGCCTTCTACTTGCCACAGAGTAAACTATAGTTTCACTGCTTTTCAACACACACCATGTTAAAATGGTGTGTGTGTGTGTGTATCGTTTCTCCTGTTCTTTTAATTGCCAGTTTGAACATGAGGAATGATTACTGCAAGTAAAGCCTATTTCAATGTCCATATGGGCACCTAAGTATTGATTTAAAACAGACTTGAAAAATTGTGAACCTGTCACCTATAATTACTGTGAACAGCACAACCTCATTAGAGTTGAGGAACTAGCCACTGTGATGCAGCTTCTCACAAGACTTCCAAGTAAATTCCAATGAGGCAATTACTCAAGGCTTCAAACACTTAGATACATTATGTAATCAAACATGTCTACAGTACATACTCTACTGATAAAATCACAAACTGTTCTTTCAGATGGGGTTAGCCTTTTTGTTTTATTTTGCAGACCACTCACTTTGTTGAAAGCATGGTGTGTGACCTTCTTATTATCATCAGACCATACAGACAAATCTGTCTATGTTGTGAGCTTCCTGTTTATGATTGTTTATTCTGCTTTTGCAAAGGCCCAAACAATTGCCTCAAGGGACAATGTTTATACCCACTGACAAACTGCAGCACAGTGGTTAAATTCAGTGGGATTGTGCACAATAATAAATAATAGAAGCAGAATCCTAATAAGGCCTGGGTTTACAATGTATGTACCCAGTTGTAGTGAGAAAACTGATAGATTTAAGACAAAATTGTTGACACCCAAGGGAAGATTCAGCAGAGAAACGTTGTCTGAAGCTAGAAAGGCTAAAGCTAATAAAGGTACTATTTCAACTCCAAGTTACATAAATTCAGTGGAAAAACCTAGACACATCTATTGCCATGTCACACTGTTTAAAGTTACAAGTCTCTAAGTTTCAGTCATTCAAACAAATTAGCTCCAGAACACACCTGAGGCTACGCTCCAATGTGCTTTAAACTCTTAATGTGGCTTAATGAATTCAGATTTGTACCAACAAGAGGGAAGCCATAACCTCTCCTCCACTCCTCTAGTTGCTGCTTATAATGCATGTCTGTGCCTGCCTGAAATGCCTTAGTTTTCTTTGTATCATTTATATTGTCTCAATCCAGGGAAATCAAGAGTGAGATGGGTATAAAATCAACAGGGGCATCGTGGTGGGTTATTGAAATCACATTGCACTTTACTACACCATCTCTAGACACAGTTGGCTGTAAAACCCTTTATTTGCACAAGTACTTCTGGGATATGAAGTAGAGAGCTTTGGAGCACCCACATGCGAATGAACTCTGCTTGACTTTGCTCAAAGTTGCCGTTTCCACAAAGTTACTTCTCAGTGATCTCTCACTCTGCATGTTGCAAATGACTCACCTCTCTCTCTGTCCTCTCTCTCTCTCCCTCTGTATCTTTGTCTCTCTGTGTCTTTGTCTCTCTCGTTCTCTCTCTCTCTCTCTCTCTCTCTCTCGTAACATCTGTCATGAGCTGGAAACAGCTTCACACCAACTGTGCCTCTCCCTGACTGTGTAGCCTGCCTGCCAGCCAGTCAGCCCGTGTTTTCAGCCCCATTAAACCTCATTGCTGTATCATTATAGCAGGTCTGCACCTCTTATCATGCTACTTCCTGGTTACCCTGCAATGCAACAACACCTGCTGATGAGCTAGAGGGTAAAGAGAGGGCAAAGCAATGGTTAAATACCTGTGAAAAACACCGGCTGGGTCTGTATATGCTAGATGGATGGATATGAGGTGAGGCGGTACTTGAATGTCACATTTCTTCGCAATCCCGCTTGCATCTCAAATAGCAACACTTCACACCAGAAATGACACACCACAGCCTCCCACAACCCTGAACAGGAATGAGCGGGTATTGAAAACGGATGGATGGAGAGATGAGGAAAAATGAATTGAAGACGTGGGCCGAGAAATGCTTTGGAAACAACTAGCAGAGCACTTTCATGCAGAAGCAGTATGTGATTAGGGAAATGAGACTTTCTATTCATTATGTGTTGACTCCTTCCTCTTACCTTTCAAACTTGTCTTATGCGTAATCCTGCTCATTTCCTCTTTTAATCCATCTATTCTTCCCTCTCCTTTACCCTCCCTCAGCCCACCTCCTCTCTATCCCTAACTTCCTCCTTTCTCATGCTCACCCTCTTCCTCCTCCACCTGTCCTTTCCTCTTACTTGCTATTCGCCCCTCCTCTTCCTCAGATTAAAACCTAATCTCTTATAATGGTAGCCTTGCTGTCTAAAATGCCATCTGAATGCTTAATTAATATTTAAAGAGTAGATTTTTTTTTCTCCTCTCCCCTCCTTTTCCTTTCCCTCTGGATTCCTTGCTCTTCTTCTTGCATGTCTTACATTTTCCTCTTCACACCATTCTCATCTCCATTCTTCACTCCCATTCATCCTTCACTGCAACCTCCCTCCGCACTTCTGCCTTCCTCCATCTTCTTCTTCCTCAAGTCAAGTTCTGATCTTTCATAATGATTGTCTGGATGTCTAAATGCTCTCTAACGGCTTAATCAATACTTAATGAACATACCATAAATACTTTATAAACCCTAAACCCTGAAATCCCTAGAGTTTCATTAGCCATAGAGATATACACTTTTCTCCATCTTCACGATGACTAGAGGCTCAGTGAAATCAACACTGGATAGTGATTGCCTCATCATTTAGTCTCTGGTCAGGCCAGATTACTGTAGGCATGGTATTTGGCTGCTGCTACCTCTGATGTAAATGTGCTTGCTTTTGTGTAGTAGGAGTATTAACACTCCACCCACAAGTCAAATGACTTATTTTGAGGATGTTAACTTTTATGTACAGTAAATGTTTTTTGTCTGCTGTATGGCGTAACAACTTATCTTGTTTATCTACCTACATGTGAGTGCATTATAAAAAATGCCGAAGCATTGCTGCATGTTTAAGCCACCTAAAGGCCACTGTAATGCAAGTGTTTTTCCAAGTTAAAGCCCCTACAAAGAACTTTCATTTTGTGTTGATTCCAGTGGCAGGTAGGGTTTCTGCCACCTCGTTTCAT